CACCGGGAGCAATTCGGGGTTCAGTGTCTTGCTCAGGGACACTTAGGCATGCGGGGAGACCGGGAGTCGATCCACTAACTTGCTGGTCAGAAGATGACCTGCCCTACCTCATGAGCCACAGCCACCCCATTATAGCTGTTTATAGCCTTTGGGGCAACATTTTAAAAAAATATTAAAGTCTGGTGTTTTGTAATGAGGAAGCCTGTCATCCTGTGTAGCAGTGTGCTTCTCTGATGTGTTTTTAATTGTTTTTGAAAAACCATGGCAGTCTTTGGCTCAGGCGAATAAGCTAATCCAAGACTGACAAACTGACAGACATTAAGTGAGTAGAGGCAACTTGTTTGTTTTAGTGTCTGTATAGGTAACATTTAAAATACTGTTAATATCAAAAATGACCAACCTTATCCTTTAAGGGTGTTGGAAATGGTGGAAACATGATGAATGAGATGGTGTGCTCAGTGGAGACAGTTTGACAGTGTACTCTGTGTACACTCCCCTGGGTGCTGACCACAGTGCTCACACTGAGCACTGAGAGAGAGAGATACGATTAGACCTTTTCAGTAGGTTTTTGAATGCTGCACAGCCCCTATCCTTGGGCAAAGAGAGGAAACAAGTCAAAGTGAAAATCCAATACTGGCCACTCATGTGCACGCATACATCACGCAGTACAGAGGTGTGTGGCCTCTTTACCTTGGCCTGTCGCCTTCTCTCACTGCCCTTTCTAGTGAAAATGTCAGCTCATCCTTCTCCTCCTCTCTCCTTTTTCTCCTTCTCTGCCCAGGCAACACAAGATTCATATGGTAAAAATAAAGAAAAACAATGCACGCTCACAGTGCTCCACAAACACATCCTGCAGCATAAATCTTTCAAGTCACTAGCTGATGGTGTTCAGACCTTGGTGGCAGTGTCTAGATTAAACTTCAGTAGTGCCAGGTCTGATCACTGGTGGCACACACAAGGGGGGAATGGAAAAGGCAGCCAATTCAGTAAGGCCAGTATCAATGCGATGAAGTACCTTTTCAAACTGAGGGCTGTACATGGGGCACGTACAGAACCAAAACACTGATACTTCAGCTACCCCTGAGCTTAAATACAAGCTTGTGGCTGAAATTCCAATCAGTAACTTATATACACTGCCATTCTCATCAATCTGGCATCTAAAAAAGATTTAAAAAAAAAAAAACATAAACAAAAACTATATGGTGTATATACAGTAGGTATTAACAGTAGTGAGCACATTTGATAAATGAGGCAACAGTGATATATAGTGTGATTAGGAAAGCAAAAGAACAAAGTAGAGGTTTCAGTCACAGTTGTAAAGTAGCCTACTGTATAAAATAATTTGCCAGTGATCCAATCTAGTGAAACTGAAAAGGCAGAGCAAAGTTTGTCTTATTGTGGAACTATAATGGAGAAGTGGAAACATGCACAAAGGAAAGACACATAAAAGAGAAAGGAATTTTGAGCTTTTTTAAAGATTTTGACAGATATAAAGACTTTTTAAAATCAATTTTCTGTCTAAATGCTCAACAAAGAAAAAATCAAAAAGAAATGAGAAGAAAAAAGAAATTGTTAAGCAGCAGAGAGGGAGACAGAATGACAGTGAGTTTATGAGAGACACTGAGAAAAAGATGAAAGCTTCAGGGGAGATGTACTGGAGTGGTACTTGAGGTTGGACTGTGAAATGGGGAATCCTGCTGCCACTCCTGTGGGCACACAAAATGCGGCCACGGCAGTGCATTATTATGTGTAACTGTAATGTATGTGTGGAGGATCAATGAGCCTGTGTAGCTACTTTTTGTTGGGATCTGTTCAGATTAATTCACTAAACCCCAGGATTGGTTTATCTGACCAAAGCAAGAACCGAAAGCTCAGTGTACACAAAGCGGAAACACTATCCTAGTCTCTACACTGCAGTCCAAATATCTTAGATGAGAGGTGGCCATATGAATGATTCACTTTTGTGGTGTTCACTCAAACATATAAATGTTCTCATAGCTCCAATTTGCTAACTACTTCTTCCAAACAACAACAGGCAATATAATTGTCAAAAATTGTATTAAAATATAATAACTGAGGAGCTGCAGTGACTAGTCATTCCACAGGCACTGTAGTATGATAATTACATAATAAACTTCTCTTCATATTTTGTACCATTGGATGAATTAAATTTGCTGTGGGAAATTATAACAGGCATTTTTTTACTATTTTCTGAGATTTTACAAACAAAACAATTAATGAAATAGTTGGGAGATGGATAGTCATTAGTTGTAGCCTTAAATGATAAATAAGGGCAGCAGTCCTTAGCAGCACACACATATATACAACAGTTTCAACTGAAATACACTCCTGTTTTTGAGACAAGCATAACAGTGCTGTGGCCAGACTGATCAATTCTGTCAGTTCTGTTTAGCGTAGAGGGAGTTTGGTGCTGTCACTGACAGCCTGCAGAGACCATTCAATCAATAATGAACTGGATATAGCAAACAATTTCAAATGATTAATTGTTTCAGGGAAACTGGAACCAATTCAAACCTCACTGTCATGATCCACAGCACTTCCTTTCTCACGCTGTTATTCTGGTACACTTCACTTCTCTATGCAGCATGTTATTCTGGTACACTTCACTTCTCTACGGTATGCAGCGCTGTATCAGTTCCCAACTTTATTACTCCATATTCACTGACCTGCACAGCATTGCGTGGAACCAGTTGGCCAGTTTATAAGCCAGTCACTAGTACTCAGTCACTGTCAGACTTGTTTGTGTTTGGCTACTAATTTCGCTCACTCTCAGCCTGGGTCTGCAGCTTTGTTTTAAGTATGAACTCTGGTTTCTCCCTGATCTTGTTGTTGCTTTTACCCACCCAACTCTGTTTGCCTGCCTGGTAATCACTAGAGACCGAACTGTGTTTGTTTGTCTCTACTGCAGCATGCTGTAGACACATATCCTCACCTCAGTGTTTGTACATTTCAGTAGCAACTTCTGTACATGTACTTTGTACTTTCCTGCCTCTTGTGTAATGTGTGTTGCGTTATTCATGAGCTAGCAATAGTCCCTACTTTGGTTTATTATCCAAGCCAGCTACTTCTGCTCCATTGTTTTTTGTGCCTTAACAGTAACTGTACCATCTTTACCAGTGTTCTGGTAGTCAGTAGTCAGCTTTTACTCTAGTCATAACTCATACCTGGGTTCTTGCCAGTTTTAGCCAGTGATCCTGTGCTTCCCTTTTACTTGGGTTCATACTTCATTAGGAGTTCTGGTATGA